GCTCAGCCCCCCGCCGGCCTCCCCGCCGCGGCCCGGCCGGCTCCTTCCAGCCCTATCCGATGTATATTTTGTCCTTTAATCCTTTTAAGTTACCCCATATCTTCCCTCCCGTAACGGCCGTTCTTCCCGTCACCGCTCTGTTAACCCTGCCTTGTTTTACAGGCCGTAGTTGATAAGGTCTTTTCCAACCAAAGCGATTCTATGATTCTATTTCTTCACAGAAAAAGGTTGTCAGGCTCTGGAACCGGCTGCCCAGGGAGGTGGTGGAGTCCCCATCCCTGGAGGTATTTAAAAGAAGGATAGATGAGGTGCTTAGGGACATGGTTTAGTGGTGGGATGGCAGGGTTAGGTTAACGGTTGGGCTCGATGATCTTAAAGGCCTTTTCCAACCTAAATGATTCTGTGATTCTATAATCAAAATGTTGCGTGTTATGGCTGACCGAGAGCCAGGCGCTTCCACAGACACAAGTGTAAATTGGGAGAGGAGGGGCGGGAGACAAGCCCTGCAGAGAGGAATCTGGGGGTGCTGGTTGACAGGAGGCTCGGCAGGACTCAGCAGTGAGCCTTAGCAGCCAAGAGGGCAAACCTCATCCTGGGGTGCATCAAACATAGCCAGCTGGTCAAAAGAGGTAATTATCCCGCTGTATTTAGTGTTGGTGCGGCCCCACTTTGAATGCTGTGTGCAGTTCTGGGCCCCACAATTTAAGAATGTAAAGGTCCTTGAATGCATCCAGAGGAAGGCAACAAAACTGGTGAAAGGGCTGGAAGGAAAGAATGTCTTATGATGAATAGCTTGTCTAGTTTGGAGGCTGAGGGGTGACCTCATTGCTCTCTGCAGCTTCCTGAGGAGAAGTGGAGCGAGAGGTGCTGATCTCTTGTCCCTGCTATCCAGTGATAGGACACATGGGAATGGTTCAAACCTGCACCAGGGGAGGTTTAGACTAGACATTAGGAAGCTTTGACTGTATATTAGGAAGCATTTCTTTACCGAGAGGGTGGTCAAACACCGGAGCAGGCTTCCTAGAGAGGCGGTTGATGCCCCAAGCCTGTCAGTATTTGAGAGGCATTTAGACGATACCCTGAATAACATGCTTGAACTTGGTCAGCCCTGAAGTGATCAGGCAGTTGGACTAGATGATCATTGTGGGTCCTTTCCAACTGAACTATTCTGTTCTGTTCTATTAATTTAATTTCATTTCATTTCACCATTAAAGAGCTTACAACTTGATCCCCAGGGCTAGAGCGACTGATGGACGTAAGACAGCTAGCATCTGGATGTGGCACTCTCACCACGTCTTGCCTTTTCTGTGTGTTTTCCTCAACTGTCCCTTGGGTGGAGAGGTTCCTCTTGATTGCCCTTGCGGTAAAGGCAGCTAATGGTATTCTGGCCTGCATTAGATGTAGCGTTGCCAGCAGGTAGTGGGAGGTGATCCTTCCTCTCTGCACTGGTGAGGCCACACCTTGGGCGCTGGGTCTAAGTTCTCGGTACAACAGAGACGTGGACATGCTGGACAGAGTCCAGCAAAGGGCCACAGCAATGATGAAGGGACTGGAGCCATCTCTCTTATAAGGAAAGGCTGACAAAGCTATTTAGCCTAGAGAAGAGAAAGCTCAGGGGGATCTTACTAATGCATATAAATACCTGAAAGGAGGGTGCAAAGAGGACAGAGACAGGCTTATCAGTGGTGCCCACTGACAGAACCAGAAGCCATGGGCACAAACTGAAACACAAGGAGGTTCCTTCTGAACATCAGGGGGCATGTTTTTCACTGTGAGTGTGACTGAGCACTGGCAGAGATTGCCTAGGGAGGTTGTGGAGTCTCCATCCTTGGAGATGTTCAAAAGCTGACTGGACATGGTCCTGGGCAACCAGCTCTAGGTGGCCCTGCTTAATTATGGGGCTGGACAAGATGACGTCTGAAGGTTTCTTCCAACCTCAGCCATTCTGTGGTTCTGTGATTTCCTTTCCATTTCCAGGACTGGTGTTTCAGGAAACACTCGAGAAAATCTGACTCTTCTCTGGCTTAAAAGGGTGATGCCAACACCGCCTTTGTGCTGGCTGCCTCTTCTAACCAGCCGCGGGTTAGTTCAGCTTGCTAACCAGCACAAAGTGCTTTTTGTTAATTGGCTGGGTTAGTGTTCTGATGGCTTGGCAACCTGAACCAGCTTGCCAAGGAAGCAAGCTACTGCCAGAAAATGAGCAGAACAAGCATGTGGCTGGGAAGGGGAGTGCTGCAGGGTTGTATCTTTGATGGGGTGTAGCCGGTTGTCATCCCCTCAATGTCACTATGCCATTCACCTTTTCAGTAGTTTATTTGCCAGAGAGTATCCTCATCTCCTTAGCATATCTTCAGAGGTTTTAAAGGAGAGATATCATAAATGTTACAGTTGGAGCAAGATGCATCGGACTGCTGCAAAGTGGCTCTTCCAGGGCTATTTGTCTGCCACCTTTGAAGGGTCAGCTGTTAGAAAAGCACATTGTAGAAGTTCTTACAAATATGTACCTGTATCATGCTTGGTTTGCAGTCAAAAGAGAACTGTTTGCAGGGAAAGAAGTAGGTTTCAACCTATTGAGTATTGTATCTAACAGACACCTAGCTTTCTATTTTAGCATTTTCTATCTTCTCCAGGGTTTTGAATGTTGACATCAGTTTGAGTACTGTTATCTCACTCCTGGCTTTGCCCTTGCCACCTATGCTTTTATTGTCTGACTTGATTGTGGTTGATTTTTTATGATTCAGCATCTTTGAGTGTTTTTATAGTATAAAAATTTGGGTAATTTTGGGTAAAATTTGGTAGTTTGGGTTGCATAGTTCTTGCTATTTCTGCTTCCCTTAAATTTTATGGAAACTTTAAAAATAAATACTTACATTTTATATAAATAAAGAAGTCTTTGTTAGTTTTTTATTATATGTGTAGCCCTTTTTTTCTCTTGACACTTAGTTTCCTTCTTCTGTGTTCAAGAAGCACAAACTAAAGGAATATGACTAACGTTAATGCCAGATAAAAGATATGTGGTATTTTTTTTTTCTTCACATGGTAACTTACACTTGGCCAAAAGCTTTTAAGCTGTTCTTTTGGCGTCACAGGGAAATCTTTTCGACATGCATGTTCTTGATGCTTAAACTGGTTGTTTTCATGTCGTAGGCAAGGCTGTACAGGGCTGTAAACATCTTGCTCTTTTTCTGATTGCTACTTTATTGGTGAATTGCAGCAGATGCTAATATGGAAGAGAGAATTGCTCTGATGCTCCCTGTTTTCTCCTTCCATAGATTATATAGCTTAAACCGCTAGATGGGAAATTATTCTGGTTCTTTCTTTAAGGTCAGTTTTGTATCTTGTTCTGACTTCATTTCATCGTTTATGTAATTACCGGCAGCGCCACTGCAATTCTGCTTTGCTGTATTCCTGGGCATCTTCTCTTTATCTTAGTCTGCATCTTTGATGTTTTTAATATTAAATTAAATAAAGTCACTTGGGAACATGGAGGAAAAAGCTGAAAAGTAATGCTAAATATCCTAGAATTTTCATTGTATAGAAAAATTTTATTGGATTTAATGTATTGGTTTGGCTCAAAGGTCACCCATACTTCTTGTCAAAGGAAACTGACAAAATGCAGGAGGAATAAATTAACCCCTTTGTGCAGCTCTGTAACTCATCTTTGTCCGATCCCACGTATGTTCTCAGAGCCTCACAGAAAGACAAAATATTTTTTGCAGCCTCACAGAATTGCTATAGTTCATGGTTTATTACCTGCTAATGACTGAAGCGGTGCCAAAAGCATTACTCTTAACTATCAGCTATTGAGATGGGAGAAAGAAAAAATTGTGTTCACTTTTTGGTGAGGGGGAAACATGAGGAGAAGGGAATTGCATATTCCTACCAGGGGAGATTTTTATCTTTAGGCAGTGAATTCAATTTCAAGTCTCCTATAGAAATAAAATTAATCCCATCTGGAAGGGAAAAGTGCTGTGCTGTATAGGAGAAATTACTGCAGGAACATGGTACTATCTCTGAATGGCGGGCGTATTTTCAGTGAGTCTGTGCTGACAGCTTTAAAAAAAAACAAAACACAACTAACTGCTTTTTTCTCTGGTCTGTGTTGCCATGCATCCAGGCCCACTAACTTCAAATTTAATTTTTACTCTGAAATGAAACTTGTGGGGAAACTGGTTGTTCTCAGTTTTCATTAACTGAAACCTCATCTTATCTACAAGTAGTAAAACTCCAGCCTGATTCTGCAAGTGCTTAAACTGTTCTTATCTTCAAGAGCACGAGTGTTTCCATTCAGCTCTGTGTTTCTTTGTTGGACAGGGGCTTTGTTCTGTTTTTAACATGTAATTCATGAAATTTAGTGGTTGCGTTTCCCATTGCTGGAGAGATTTACGTTTACTTTTGAAGTACCACAGTTGATAAAATTCTTAAGAGAGCAAATATCACAAATGTCCCAGCATTGTCTGTCTACAGCTTTTCCTTCACCTACGCCATACCGTATAGAGCGCTACTTTTTGTTTCTGTGCCCCTCTTCTGTTTTGTTCGTCGTTCTTTGTTAATTAGTTTAAACTTAATATTGTGTTCAGCAAAGGTACTGAAATACTGCAAGTAGTCAGCAAGCTCCTTCCTCCACATCAGTTACGCAGACCTGAGATATACAAGCACAAGTTTTGCTTCTAAGTGGTGAACACCCAGAGAAGTAAACAGTCTCACTAAGCATGTTAGTCTTTTTAATATGCGGATTCCTTACCACCTCCCCAACAGTCACAATCGCAAAATAGAACATACGCTATTTTCTTACTGCTGGACCAGTGTTTTTAACAGCATAAGAACTTGAGGCCTGAGCTCAGGTGGTACTTTTGTTAGCTTTGCTTGTTTTTCTGCTTCAAGCAAAAGGATGTGTGTGTGGGGGGGATTGTTTTATTTTCTGTTTGAGAAGTACTCCTGGCAGTGGAATTAAGTTAAAGCTGCTCCACAGAAACTGAAAACTACAAAGTAAAGATCAACCCTCATGTATGTAAATAAGATGCATTTTGTGGGTTTTAAAAAAAAAATTGGGATACTCAGGCTGGCTTTTGTCAATGAAAGGAAAAAATCTAGTATGTGAAAGTGCTTGTGCCATTAATTTGGCTAGATCAAATTGTATTGATTGTTAATTTACTCTGATTGAAATGTCTGTCGTCCTTTAAGCAGGGAAGTTTAGGTATGTTAAATATGTGGGATTTAAAAGACGACAAATGCATGGTTTCCTGTAAAACTCTTTTGTACCACGTATATACTGATTAAGATGCTTTTCTTTGTGCAAGAAAGAAGGGAAGGGGAGCATTATGTGATAGAGCTGAAAACTGTACAGTAATGCAGATTTCAAAGAGAAAAAAATGTGACTGGAGCAAATGCAGCTCTGGCACCCGAAGTGGCTGACTGGAATCTGAGCCTTTACCAAAACTATCTGTAAGATTTTACACATCAAGTTGATTTTGCTTCTTGTTGTTGCACAGTTAGGATGAAGGTAAAATTGCATTTTAAACTGTTCCACAACTGCCTCTCCTTCATACATCATCGGAGCAGAAACCTGACTCTTGAGCATTACAGCACAGGTTTTTACCACTTGAGCTATGGGACTGACAACCCTAATTGGTAGCAGGAGAAGACTTATTCCCTGAGGGCTGAAAAAGGAATATGCTGCTGGCGCCATGTGTTGAGCCTGGGTGTGGGGGAAGGTAAGGAATAAATGAGATAATTAGGACTTTCTACTGTGTAATCTCCACGGAACTGGAAATATCAGTATTTCACGTGGTAAGGTGATAAGGTAAGAAAACAACCAAAAAGGAATAAGGTACAGATAAGTAACAGTTTTTTTAATTACCGCATACCTGGGATTGGATGGTTTGTTCGTTCTTGCGTACATCAGTGTAGTTTTATTTGGTTGCTAGAAACTGCACTGCGTCAGCATAAGCAAGCAGTAGCTGGCCAGCTTGAGGGGTATTCAATCTTTACGTCTCAGGTGTCAGGCCACAGTTTGAATTGTTGCTGCGTTTGCCATGTTCTATTTCTATACTGTTCCTGAAAGCCAGTGCTTACTCTTCATATAGGACTTTCTGTGATCTGGAGTATGGAAGTGTTTGCTATCGCTTGTAACAGCAGAGCGTGTGGCAGTTTCTATCTGGTGAATAGTCAGTGCTCATTGTGCACTTAATTGCTACAGGTCACTGCCTAGGGCAAAAAAAGTCCTGCTTATGGTACTATGAATGTTTGGGTAGGAAGTAAGGAATTCTGGCAAATAAATAATGCAGGATTTTTATCTTTCTTTCCTTTTTTTTTTTTTAAATCCAAACACTACATGGTAACACTCTTCTCTCTTTGCCACCTTCTAAAGCTTCTTCTTTGTTAAATTTGGTGTGAAATAATGTTATCAAAACTTGACACCGTACACCTCTTTTCTTTAGACTGGACTCCTTTCCTCTGCTGGAGGTATATATTAGACATTGCTATTGGTTTGTCAGCCCCTTCTCCTTTAAATGTTGGTGTCTGCGAAGTGAGTCAGGATTCTGCTCCTCAAACTCTACTTCAAACCTGAAATTACATTACTCTACTCTTCCCAATTTTACATTGGTATTTTAGCAGAGAAGAGCTTCATGTACCTTTCTTTAAACCTTCCTCTCTGCGCTTGGCACCCAGCATGTTTCAGCCAGACCACCCACTGCTCCAAGGGTTGGCCTTGTCCAGTGATCTGAGCTCAGCCGTCGGGGGGCTGGGGGCGAGCGCACCTCCAGGGGGTGACGGCTGCTGCGGTGCCTCTTTCCTTCCCTCATTGGTTGATTTTGCTTCTTGTTGTTGCACAGTTAGGATGAAGGTAAAATTGCATTTTAAACTGTTCCACAACTGCCTCTCCTTCATACATCATCGGAGCAGAAACCTGACTCTTGAGCATTACAGCACAGGTTTTTACCACTTGAGCTATGGGACTGACAACCCTAATTGGTAGCAGGAGAAGACTTATTCCCTGAGGGCTGAAAAAGGAATATGCTGCTGGCGCCATGTGTTGAGCCTGGGTGTGGGGGAAGGTAAGGAATAAATGAGATAATTAGGACTTTCTACTGTGTAATCTCCACGGAACTGGAAATATCAGTATTTCACGTGGTAAGGTGATAAGGTAAGAAAACAACCAAAAAGGAATAAGGTACAGATAAGTAACAGTTTTTTTAATTACCGCATACCTGGGATTGGATGGTTTGTTCGTTCTTGCGTACATCAGTGTAGTTTTATTTGGTTGCTAGAAACTGCACTGCGTCAGCATAAGCAAGCAGTAGCTGGCCAGCTTGAGGGGTATTCAATCTTTACGTCTCAGGTGTCAGGCCACAGTTTGAATTGTTGCTGCGTTTGCCATGTTCTATTTCTATACTGTTCCTGAAAGCCAGTGCTTACTCTTCATATAGGACTTTCTGTGATCTGGAGTATGGAAGTGTTTGCTATCGCTTGTAACAGCAGAGCGTGTGGCAGTTTCTATCTGGTGAATAGTCAGTGCTCATTGTGCACTTAATTGCTACAGGTCACTGCCTAGGGCAAAAAAAGTCCTGCTTATGGTACTATGAATGTTTGGGTAGGAAGTAAGGAATTCTGGCAAATAAATAATGCAGGATTTTTATCTTTCTTTCCTTTTTTTTTTTTTTAAATCCAAACACTACATGGTAACACTCTTCTCTCTTTGCCACCTTCTAAAGCTTCTTCTTTGTTAAATTTGGTGTGAAATAATGTTATCAAAACTTGACACCGTACACCTCTTTTCTTTAGACTGGACTCCTTTCCTCTGCTGGAGGTATATATTAGACATTGCTATTGGTTTGTCAGCCCCTTCTCCTTTAAATGTTGGTGTCTGCGAAGTGAGTCAGGATTCTGCTCCTCAAACTCTACTTCAAACCTGAAACTACATTACTCTACTCTTCCCAATTTTACATTGGTATTTTAGCAGAGAAGAGCTTCATGTACCTTTCTTTAAACCTTCCTCTCTGCGCTTGGCACCCAGCATGTTTCAGCCAGACCACCCACTGCTCCAAGGGTTGGCCTTGTCCAGTGATCTGAGCTCAGCCGTCGGGGGGCTGGGGGCGAGCGCACCTCCAGGGGGTGACGGCTGCTGCGGTGCCTCTTTCCTTCCCTCATTGTCCCAGCATCACGGATGGAGCCGCTGTTGCAGGAGGAGGCTGGGGAGACTCAGTTGCTGCATTCAGTGGTGCCAGTTAGGTAGAAAATAGAAAGTGGGTGGTGGTACGTTGGTAGTCCTCTCATAAGCTGAACCTGTGAATTTGTGCTTTGTATAGTTCTGGTGGTTGTTCTTCGCAAGAGTGACGCTTCCTTATAAAGCTTTTCAATAACTTTTCTTGGAAGAGAAACGTCCTTTAAAGTTCAGCATAATTAAAGAATTTGCTTAGAAGAATGTTTCATGATGTGCCCATGTTTATGGGGTGGTTGATAGGACTTAATTTTGTAAAAGCTGGCCTGGATGCCTATCTTTTGGCTAATGCTCGTGGGGTTTTAAATATGAATTTGCCCTTTTAAAGCTGTTTGGAATTGCTTCTATGTAATCTTCCAGTCTTGAGAGAGAAGAGATACTGAGCGTCATCTTTCGCAGTTAATGTTTTTATCCCACTGGTTTCCTTGTTTTGTTCTAGCTGTTGTGAACTCAAGAGTTTTTAGCTGCTTTGGAAGATTCTTTTAATGAATATTGTTAGGAAAATTTTGCAACATAGTGATTTTGCTGCAATTTCTTTTAAGGGAATCAGTGGTAACTGTTAATCAAGTACACCCAAGTGTTAAGCTGTCTCTAAGATTGCAAACTGGAAAAATGGAAGGGGATACTATGCTAATATTGTAGGGGTAGGCGCGTTGGTCTTTTAAATTGATGCACAGACACTTAAGACTGAAAATCTCATTCAAGTATTCCTGTATTATAAAGCTGCATTTTCGATAGGATCGTGTTTTGGGCTTCAAAGTTTAGATGCTTTGGAACTAACTCTAATGAGAAAGTTTCTGTAACAACAATTTGAAGTAGCAGAAAAATACGGAAATGTGCTGGATAAATGGTGAAGGGAGTTTCCTTCTTTCGCTTTCCTTTGAAAGGTTCATTTTTTTTTTTAATTGTTCCACTCCATTCATAACTTTATAGAAAAGCCTTTTATACTTCTCTCTCTTCTTGCCTACTGAAGTCAATTGCTATATCAACAAGGTAATCTGTCTGGCATACAAATGCCTGATATTTCAAATCAAGATTCAAATAAAGATTTAGCTGTAATATTCAAGTATGTGGCATTTGGCATGGTGTGAGCTTGTGGTAAATTCTGTTATCTTAAATTTATTTAGCATGTTTTATCTTCATTTTAGGTAAGGACTTAGAAGAAAAGAAAACAAGGAGGCTATGTTCAGCTTCTTCCGAAAAAGTCAAGATTCAAAGAAGGTTACAGTGCCAGAGAGAGAAGCAGATGGATTTGTTATTGTGGGTAAGTGGTGCTTCTGTATAAAGTGATTCTTATCTTTGAAATGTAAAAATTTCTTTGACATGCTTAGACCAAATGAAATATTAAGAGAAGCCATGATAAAATCTGTTCAGATTCTTACTTTTCTTGAAGAAGTTCATATTCCTGGTCTCATAATTTGGACTAAATAGCTGAAGTTTTACTTACATAGGTATGAACTCTTATTCAGGAGCATTGAAAATGTAGTTTCTTGTTTTCCTCTCATATTGTGAGCAAGGAGAAGTTATGTCCTTAGAAAACAAGAAAGCTCAGAGTTGAAGCTTCTAGCTTTGTGATTATAATTGTGGGAAGAGAGTATCTTATTGTTAGAGGACTAGTTTTCTTCAGGTTCCTTCCCTTTAGTGATACCCCCAAAGTCTTTTTATATTGGAAGCCATGAAGCATCTGTGTATTTCTAGTCACATGGTGGATGTAGATGTTCTGTCTCAGAATCTGAATCTTGCTTAGTTTGATGAAAATTAAGTAGTTTAGGGTTTTTGAAGTATTTTTATTATTCAAAAACTAATCTGAAGTGTACTCACCTGTGAACTGCCTAAATTTGAAGCTTTAATCAAGCTCTTTTGTAGTCTTGTAGGATGGCTCAAGCGTGCCGAAGATAAAGAATTTATTGCTGTCATGCTGTAACTGAGCCTTTTCTTTTTTGAAAATTTGTGGTTTCCTCCTTGTAAATCTGTCATCATCAATATTCAGCTTCTGCTGCTCTGATTTACTGACTTGTTCTTATCAGGAATCTTACAGTATTTCTCTATTTAAGTGTTACTTCTTCTTGAGCATTTTCAAGTCACGGAAGCCTCTGGATTATAAAAATCTAACAATGTGAGAGACTATGGGAACTCTTTCTGAGGAGAACTTACTTACATTCTTTGTAATAGTTATCCATTAAAACAAATCGGGTTTCACATCTGTGACTCTGTGTAGTTATGGTTAATGGTTGCCTTCCACTAGATTTTGTTCATCTGCATTGGTTTTGATGACTACATCAAATCACTCCAGCACTTGCATTGTGGAAGGGTCAAAGGAGATACATCGTATCCCCAAAAAGTCTGGAGACCATTTAGAGTTTCAAATTTTGTAATAGGCGGAGAGTTCTGCACCCAAATGTTGCTTATGTCCCTCAATTGCTGGTCCTGATTCTGCATTCAATTTAGGTTCATTCCTTTTTCCTGAAATGCTGTCAGTGACTATTTAAACTTTGTTCATATAAATTCATGTTAAATTAATCTGTTAAATATAAACTTAAGAACTATCAATTTTGCTTGAACCTTCTTTTCTTTTTTTTCTATTTATTATTATTTTCTGCTCAGGAATTAATTTAGCAAACTGCAATGAAATGGACTGTAATTTCATCTTAACTAACTTTTGCTGGGCAAAAGAATTGCCATCAACCTTGTCAGTGGAGCAGATCGTTTTCTTGCTAGATGGATGTAGTTGCAGAATTATGCACACTTATGTAGATACTTATCTAGAAGTTTTATTTGTGTAGTAATAGTGGCAGTCAAAAAAAAACCCCAAACCCAACAAAAAACCACAACACCTAGCTATTCTGCTTGTTACTTTTTTATTTCTCAGATGGGAGGTTCTGAAGCTTTTTTTAAACTTAGATGTAAAATATTCTAGAATATCAGCACTAAATGTCTTTAACAAATCTCAGTAGGATTATAGGACCACTAGTGTCAATACTGCTGTAGGCAGTGAACTCTCTTGAAGGGAGTGAGAATTTTATTTCTTATGTTTTAAGTTGGTTCCTAAACTCAGTCTTTCATTCAAAGCATGTAAGAACAAAAATCGTAGTTTGCTGATATTCTGTGGACATGGGAGGAAGTGCTTTGCTTTTCTTTCATGGAGAAAGAAGAGGAGAAATACATCCTCAAGGGACACTCAGTCCTGATTTCCACTGTTGTGGTCGGGAGAGCTTGTCTGTCACAAATCCCTTGCAAGATTGTTCACACCATGCACCACTGATAAGGGCAGCCAGGAGTCTCACTGGAAGTCTGAATGAGACTTACCAAGAAAGAATCAAATGCCATGTCCATTAAAGTATGAAAGAAATCTATTCAGTAATATAGTGAGAGTACTGAGCATCACAATTAAATGTAGGTAATTGTGATGTTCTAACAGTATTTAATTATTTTAATCTCTTTCTGTGTCATCTGATATTTGAAAAAGAGGGAAGAAGGTTCAACACTTTATTGAGAAAGATCCACCAGAGCTATCACCCTGTCAAAATCTCGAGGATTTTTTTTTTTTTCCATTTTTTTCATAACTCCTCCAAGTCCTGTTATGTATTGCTGTATTTTAAATCTACCTTTGCTTGTAGAATATCAATGCATTTGGAATTTCAATATCTGAATACCTGTTCTTTGACTAGAAAGATGACTCATAAAAACACCGTAAGGAACAAAACCAACTTTGCAGCATAGTAGCTGAAAGAAATTATCTATTTTAGCTTTTGGGGCAAATACTGCATGTATGGGAGTCAAGAAAAAAGAATTTATATTTCAGTCTCTACAAAATAAATATAAAATGTAATTTTCTACCAGGGACTAAAGCATTTTTATGTCTGACTACCCGTTCACATATTTTCCAGATGCTGGTCATCTCATCTGTTCATGAAGCTGTAAAAGTGGTGCTTGTACTGTAACAAGCAGAACTATTATTCTGGAAAGGGAAAAGAGACTTATGAAATATGCACAACACATGCAATTGGTTTTGATGAGTGAAGCAACTGCAGAAATATGAAAAATGTTTCAGGGTTTTGCCTGATCATCTCAAATTGTTTTTCAAGTTAACATTCTGAATGCCAGAATTCAGAAAACAAGTAAGTTTTCAGTTAGCTTGGGGATCTCCAAGAGTAGTAGTTCTTAAGGAATTTCTCATGGTTTGTGGTTTTTGTAGTATAAAATAAATTCCAGCCTACCATCCATTCCTACTGTTGCTAGCCACAGAGAGGACGACAGATTAGTGCTAGCAATTTGGTTTGGCACACAGCTAAAAATCTCCCATCAAATCTCAAAGATGGTAGGCCTAATCTCAGTCAAAGATCAGGAGGTGAAAAACTGAGACAGTAATGCTGCTTCCCATTTGTGTTTGGCAAGAAGGTCAGAAACTCTGCAAACATCCACATGGTGTTGGTGGTTCCACTGGGGTAGGTGGTGAGTGTTTTTTTGCTTGAAGACAACCGAAATGTCATAGAATCATAAAATGGTTTGGGTTGGAAGGGACCTTTAAAGATCTTCTAGTCCAATCTGCCTGCCATGGGTAGGGACATCTTTCACTAGATCAGGTTGTTCAAAGCCGTGTCCAACCTGCCTTTGAACACAACTTCTCTGGGCAGCCTGTTCCAGTCTCTCATCAGCCTCATCATTTAAAAAGAAAAATTAAAAAAATCACTTATCACAGAATATTGTTTTGCATGTGCTCTTTAAAAAATACTGCTAAATGTTAATTTTGTTTTCAGGTTTAGTTTAAGATGCTGATGTGGGGGGTCTTGTTTACTTTTCCAGAAAAATTTGAAGTAAGCCAGTGTGAGGGAACAGCAAATGCTGGTGGCTCCACCAGGCAGGTGAACCTGCAGCTGAGCAAGGGTGCTGGGAAGGCAGGGGCTTGGAGAGAGACCTCACCAATGAGGGCTGTGGTCCCACACTACCTGAGCAAGGACAGCAGAGCAGGTCTGGTGACGGTGACCAAGGGTCAGCTGAGAGTCCAGTGATTGCCAGACATTGCCCCAGATAGGGACGAGGCATATCTGAGGCCATGACAAGAAGTCAGGTCAGAGGGTTGGGGTCATCAAGATGCATGGGCCGGCGCAGGCATCCCTACAGGGTGGCTTGGGCAAGGACCAAGAACCCGAGATGAGGCTTCTCCCGCAGCTCTTTGCCTGGACCCTGACGGACGCAGTACTGTGTCAGTGCTGGCTGTGGACATGGACAGCCAAACCCAGCTGGGGCAGGGGCAGGGGTTGCTGAGTCCAGTGGTACACTCGGGGCCGAACAGCCAGGATGGTTGTGTTGTCTCTCACTAGCATCTGGAGGCAGCACGGTTCTCTGAGGAGCTCTTGCTCTGAGTCTTTGACCATGCCTAAGTTCGAATCTGCTTTGTTTACTTTAAACTTGTATTTTAAAGACCAATCTATTTCATGGATTTAAGAGTCGTTGGTTTTTGTTTTGTTTTCTCTCAGGGATCTTTTTATGTCGTAAATTGGAATGGACTAAATGGCTTGGAGAAGCAGCTCAGTTGCTGGCGCTAATAAATCTGATTTGTAAACGTATTTAACTTCTGTTTCTTCCTTGAACTTAGGATAGTTTCCTGTTTCATTTTTTTAGTTGTAAATTTACATGGATTTTCAGTACTGACCAATGGCTATTATTTCAGAGCTCTGCTCTCAGCCTCAGGTGCAGATCTAACAGGTGGTAGGAAGTATAGTTATTGACTTATAGGGAGCACTTAACAACCTGAAGGTTGTTTTCTGTGATTCAGCAATTTTGCTGCAGAGTTTTTCAAAGTTTCAAGACTAAGTACCCGCAGAAAAATGGACAGACATGGCATTCTCATCAGAGCGGAGTGACCGTCACAGACGCAGGGAGGCTGTGGCCATGGTGAGAAGGTTTGGTAGGAATTTTATAATGAAGATATAGACTCCTGCTCTGTACACCTCCCTTTTCCCTACTGTGCTTTCCTAGATCCTTGGAGGCCATCTAGAATTAGTAAGCAAGTTTTGGATTAATACCTATTTGTTATGCTTCTCACTATTGGAGCAAGCATGATTTTTGCCCGTTATGTTTCCTCTCAAGAGAACATAAATAGTCATAAGAAATTAAGTGTTTTGAAATCTCTTCCCAAGAAGGAGAAGGACTTGTGGTATTTAAGTGAGTCTTGGATCTGTTGAATTAACCAACGTGTACCTTCTGTTTCAATGCTGATGTCTGAAGAGAAGGAGCTCTACAGAAAAAATGTGGTCAGGCATC